CGTATGTACCTACTACCTATAATCTATATAGTAATTATAGCAGTGTACCTTGAACAACGCGGGCCTTGGTTACTGGTTAGTATTGATAGATATTAGAATAGATAATAGGTGCTTAGGTATGATAGATACCTACCTACCTATATTGCTATAACTCGACGTCTCGAGTTTTCAACTCTCAACATTATTGATTAAACAACAGTTTTACACAGTTGTAGGTACCGATACACTACGTCTGTACATTCACTATAAAAGTGATATATCATTATTTGCATTTGAATGTTTGGAATTTATTAATAAACATCTTGAACAAATGCTAGTAAATATGATTAGTAATTCAATTTCTAAATCATTAGATGGTTTGGACGGATCATCTTCATTAACTGTCGAGAACTATTCTTTAGGAGACCCAAGCGAGTAAGATATTTTATTTGCGTAAATACACCTAGTACTATAGACAAATTATTAAAACTACTATAATATATAAAACATATTAATTTACCGATCTAAATGTGATTATAGGGGTACCGAGTTAAATAAACAGACAAAACTCATCAATGCATTAGAAGTTGCACATCTAAAAGATTTAAAAAAGTATTTTTTTTATTACGATGACAAAGAACATCCATTAAACAAGGACGAATTCATCGCAGCAATATGTTCGGTAACTGGTAAGTATAGCCGTATACTAGGCACGCCTTAGTAACAATAATTGTAATTATTTTATTCCAGAAGGAGAAAATAAGGATAATGCGAATACATACAAGGTATCATTGGTTAGGTTAGGCTATTATACATGCAAATAATAGAGAACAAATTGCTTAAGAAAATTATTAATTATTAATATACAGACTAAAGGGTCTTCAACCTTTTTTAATGATGGGAGAATCTGACTATCTGTGATAACTTTGATATTGCTGGTCAAAAGGCAATTATTCGTTGAGGGATAGGTAAATCGACATAATGAGATTGAAAGAAGAGAAAAATCATTTTATTTCACCATTATTTTACAAAGGAAGAAAATCCCTTTTTTTTTTTTTTGATCAGTCGGATTTATACTTGGATATAGTATTAGCTGGGATATAGCTCGACGTTCAAGATCAAAATATATGTCAGCTTAGATTTGAGACCTCTTCAGCTAAAAAGGGACATAAAAAAGGTGTAAGAAAATAACTAAAGGAGGCATCAGCCTATACAATTTGTGATGTGAGGAATGGTGTTCTAAGCATCGCTAGGTATATCAATAAATTATACCTATTATACTAATGTACCATTATAAAAATTATCGAAACACGTATATATGTAGTTGTTTCGAAAGCTATGTATATAATACTATAATAACTTTTATATCAAAACCAAATAATTTGTTTAATATTTAGGTAGGTATAATAGGTACCTACATATTATTACCTATATCATATATACGCTTTATACATATACGATATACATATTTTGATTACCTATACATATATTGTCGGGTATAAAAATCATCAATTCAATTTTAATTTGTAAAACATAGGTACTAATTTATACGTAAAGGAGGCTGATGAATTTTTCGAACAAGTGTGTGTAGAAGATTTTAATACAAAAGAAGATGTTATACACTGGAAACAACTTTTAAATGAAATTCGATATAGTACATATTTTTTTCAAGATGTCTGGGATGCATTACCTTTTGACCAAAATAATATAACGATGCATTCAATGTCACATTGCAAAGTAAGTACATTTAAAATGTATAAGTTAACGATCTGGAGCGTACCATCTCTGGATGATTTCCCTCATCATGTGCTTCATGTGTTTTATATGCAGGGCCGGATAGGTATGTATCGGCCCATCGAGATTTTCACTTCTAAAAGCGGGCCATTTACATATCCAGTGGCCTAAAATTACGTTTATAATTATTACGAGCTTATAGGTGGCCAATCGTATTATAAACATGAATTTATTTTCACTCACACTCACAAACTTTAAGCATCCCACCTAGATTTTCTCGGTAGCTCGCCCCTGTTTATATATATGTATATAATATAATGTCACTTATCATATTAAAAATGGAAACTTAAAATGTCCGTAAAGAGCTCAAAATATTTGGAAAATTTTATCATGTATATAAAATGGAAATATAAACCTCCAGTGAAATTTTCATGTATATACGTTCATTTGTCTTAGAGTAACAACAAAAACTAAAATCGATTTTGTGTAAAATCTATTTAGCGTAAAAATTCCCGTTTTTCCTTAATTTTTCTTTTGTTTTTCAAGGCACTTTTGAAAACTATTGGAAAAATTTTACTTTTGACCCCTCAAAGTACCAATTAGATTCATATTCCTATCAGAAAAGATACTCTTGAAGAAAATACAAGCACGTTTACTGTCCTAAAAGGTGATGACAGACATAAGAAAAATAAAAAAACACACGCATCATTGTTAAATCATCGTTCCACTCAGAATCTTAAAGTTAACGATAACATCGTATCACAGAATAAAAGAATAATTAAATTAATTATTCAGTGCTTGTATAATGTATATTATAGGTATAAATAAGTAGTTTTTTTTTTAAATTAAAATTTGTGAAATATTATTTGAAAATGATAATGCTTAGAGACAGGCGCTATACAGGGGGGGGGGGGGTCAAAAGTTAGAGAGACACATCTACAATTATTATAGTGCTTTGGGTTTAATTGCACTGAAAATAAAAACAAATAAAATATATAAAACAGTAATTAACAAATTAAGATGGCATGTAACTCCGCAGTTTATATATAGAACTACAGTAATAGGTAGAAGGTACCCTATATAATTTACTAAATAGGTAATAGCCAATAGGTATACTTATTAATGTTTTTATTAATAGTTATAATTTACATATATATATATATTTAAAGATATTATTCTATAGTAAGATATATTTTCCACAGCACGAGTCAATAGTCAAAGTGATTAGCATAGAAACAGAAGAATTCTTTTGTTACACGGTTTTTTCTCGACTTGGCCAAGTGGGCGTTTATGATGGTCGTTTAAACTTACTAAGGGAATACGTATTACAATTATCTCAGTGCCCCGACGATTTAGTAAGGGCGGCTCATCGACGGCGTAATATTTGGATCAATGATGCAATATACTTACCAGATGCCCAATTCATAACTATTGCTGCATCAGACGGTTCTATCCATTTTGTTGACACCGTTTGTCTAGTTCATGTGCCAACTTTTTGTATTACGGGTACGAGTTTACTGCATTGAAACCTTGTAATAGTTATTAATTTATAATCATTAACAATTCAACACAGGATTAAAAACAACGCCGACGTGTTTGGAATACTGTCCTGGTAGTTCTTCACTTTTATTTATTGGCGACGATAATGGCAGTATTACTCAAATGGAATTTCTCCAACCAAAACGATCGTTATTTAAACGAGATCCAACGAATAAAGTTGATACATATTTGTGGAAAGTTAGTAACTATAAATTAATAATTATAGTCAAGAGGATTAAAATAGTTAATATAGGTATTTAACTATTCTAGGAGAGAAAATTTAAGTTTTATAGTAATTGGTATTTTATTTTATTTTATAGTATAAAGGTAAGTCTAATGAAATTGCGTATAATTGAAATTCTAAACAAAAATCATAAGAATAGGGCAGTTTTATTTAATCAGGTGGCGCGTCAAAATCAGAAAATAAAATGATCAGGACAAAAATTAATTAGGATTGTTTAACCACATAAACGATATATATATAATCATTATAAATTATAATCAATATCTTTAAGTACCTATTGTCACCAAATACAATATTTATTACTTCGTTCTCATTTATTTAATGGTTAAGTATGCAAACTACTACATATTTTGCCTTCCCTGGCATAGTTGATGTAATATTATACTACCTACTATAACTGAAGCTTGAAAGTAATAGGTGCAGGACTGTACTTGATATACCATTCACTAAAAATATGTACCTAGTACCTATAGTAAATAATAATAAAAAAAGTAAAAACTATATTTATTTTCAAAAATTTTATTTTGTAATAAGTTAAAATTTTGTAATAGAAATATTTTCAAACACTTTAGTTTGAATGAGTTTCTTACTTTAATTTGGATCACTTGATATATATGCACCTATAGACTACAATATTAAATGATTAATTAATTTAAAATTGTATTATTTAATATCATTTTTATGTCTAATAGGATTTGGAATATCAACAAGAATGGGTTAAAGTACACACATGTGGGATTTCAATTCATCCAGATAGTATTAAACATATTATTTATTGTCAATCTGATGAAGCTACAATAAGTTGTTGTCAAGACCACAAGCAATCTCTAGTCATCAAGCATATAAGAGATGAATGGAATCCATATGTATTTCACATTCGACATGTATATTGACTGTAGTTCCATATAAATTAGTGCATTTATGTTTAGAATTTTGATTTGTATAATGTGTATTGAAAATATTATAATAGGGTGTACGATGTTTTCATTACAATGCAACACTTAAACTATTAGTGACTGGATGTTCGCAAAAAGTTTATATATGGAATCCAGTAGTAACAAAAATATATCTTGCTAAATTAGAAGGGCATAAAAATGCAGTTGTAGATGTCAGAATTTTTGAACATTTCAATCTTGTGATTAGCATTTCAAAGGACGAAGTAATAAAATAAATATATTTATATTATATTCAAATGTATATTAAAAGTACATTTTTTATTTTGAAATAGGTACTCAAAGTATGGAGTTTAAATACCTATGTTTGTTTACAAACAATTCAATTTGATTTCCCAGTGTATAATGTACTCGGAAAATCTGTTGAATTTAGTGCTCGAACATTTTATCCAGGACCAATCATAAAACAACCACCGGAAGAACAGGCATCATTAAAGTCCATTGATGCAAGTAATATAACTAGCGTACAAACAAGTGTTTATATGCCCAAGTTAGTAATTTTAAATACATTTATATAAATAATAAATACTCAATATTTTAAAATAACCAAAATGTTTTTCAGGGAAAACTGGGAATCTGAAGTATTGTTAATTGTTTGCTCTAACTATTTATCAACATTAAAACAAAATTTAAAGGATTATTCCCAAAATCATTCTCCTCTCCCTCCGCCAATAGAAGACAAAAAACCAGCGCTTCCATCAGAATGGAGTTTCAGCGATACCGATCAGATTATCACTGACGAAATTGATAGCACATTAATAGAATCACCGAAAATAGATAATAATAAAATAAAAAATTTACTTATTGAATCAAGACCTCCATTAGACCATGAAGCTTTTAACCTAGATACACATAAAAAACCAATAAATACTAAGATGAAGAAGCATGTAGATGAAATGGTAAAAAATGGAACACCTTATTTAGCAATGCATTTATGTACAGTATATAAATTAGAACTGTCTAAGAATTTGGCGTTAAGCGATGCAACAAAATCAAGGTTCCCGTTTATGGAAAAAATGGATGAAATATTTTCTGATGGGATTGCATATGATGAAAAAGTTAAGTCACCTGTGAAGGAACAAAATAAAGAAAACCCGATTAACATAAAAAATTTGATGGAAATTATAAATAAATTGGAACTAGACGAAGATGGTGATATTGAAAGAATTATAAACGAATTTATTTAATAATATCCATCCCTCAAAATTATATACTATACTATTTTTTGTACTTATTTTTTATACATTATTTTTAAATGTTAATGATTACATCATTAGTTAACAGTAAAAATAGAATGTTAAATTAAATTAAACATTCACAAAAAAATGCCATATTTTAAAATATACTATTTACAAGTAAAACTTATATTCAACCATAATAAGAATTACATTTTATGTATTTTATATATTTTATGTAGACCATTTTAGATTAGAAAAAATTTTGATTTCCATAGTGAATCTCAAAATCCATGTCAGAGCACATAGGTATTATTTAAAATGTGAATTCTAGAAAATCTTTCTTAGTCACCATTACGCATAGTACTAGTATCTACTATGCTATAGTAGATACTAGGTAGTACGAAAGTATTGTCAAAATATCAAGTCCCTAACACTATCATTGTTCAATTCTTTTATATATACATTTTATTCTTTCTATTTTTTATCTCCCATTATATTGGATTTGGGTAACTTTATGGTGGATTATAATGCACCTATATTTTCTGTATTTTCGATTTGATTTTCAGATAATTTTAGTAATAACAATTTAATAACAATTTATAAACAATGGCCAGTGATAAAAAGTTGTCAGTATAGTGAATCGCTTTGATGTTATACGTATGTTAAGAGGTACCTGCACTTCATCCATTTTACACATTTACACCAAACAAATTTTTAGCTGTAAAGCGCAATAATTTGTAATATGTGAGATGTTATTTGGAATATGTAAAATCATGGTTTTGAAGTTATGGCCAAAACTATCTTCAGACTAGCCTCCCCTTATCTAAATTACACATTTACACCATTGATTTTATAATACACTACCTAAAATATTATAAAATCAATGATTTACACTGAATACAATGTAAGTTGTAGAGTTAGTTTATTAGTAATTGTAATATTACATTCTTAGCTATGGCCTATGAATGTATTGATTTAACAATGATGTACCTATTTTTAAATTTTATTTTTATTTTTTATGTATATACAAGATAATTATTAGAAATAATGCTTTAATTTTGAACTTTTAAAGTGGTTTCTGATAGAAAGTTAGATATAATTGGTATTTTTGAGAGGTGAATATGGAAAATTTTCAATACTTTTCAAAAGCGTCAAGAAAAACAGAAAAAATTCAGAAAATACGGAAAATCAGTTTTCGGTGTAACTCAAAAACGTAAATCTGTAGATGCTTGAAATTTTCACCAAATTTTTATATTTGCATTTTTTGTATTATTCTATAATATTTAAACATATTTTGAGCTATGTATACTCTATATTTAGGTTCAGTGGCGTATATACAAATTATTTTCAGTATGGGCCAATTTAGGAAATTTATCACTATCCAAGCATAGCCCGACTAACATAGCCATAATACTGTACATATTTCTGGGAGCTAGGTGGTTATAATTATGATTTATAATATATACAATACAAATAAAAATTGCACAATTTAATTTTATAATTATGTAAAATTAATTTCTTAATTCTTTTTAAAAAAATATTGACAATTTCATTTATATATATTATATATATTTTAATGTTATCTAACTGTGAATTTAACATCAAAGTCATCAAAACAAGTCCTGACAATCATTTCTTTGTGGATTCCTCAAAAACGATTTTAATCAACTGACTAAATTAATCATGATGAAAAACTGTAAACAGTGTAGATATACATGAAATGCTTTAAGTAATTGAACCTACAATTATTTCACTATGGGCTCTGGCCTAGGGGGCCTCCCCCCTATATACGCCACTGTTTAGGTTCCATGGAACACCAGTTGGGAAACACTGCTCTATAGAAAATATAAATTTTCGTTTTTTTTTATAATATCAATAAAAATGTTTTCACGAAGTCAAAAAGTTCGAAATTAAATGCAAGGTTCCTCATAAGTTAGTAATAAAAATGTGTTCATAAACTAATAAAAAAATGTCTAAAATACAAAATCAAAATCTTGAAAATGTGCGAATTATTTTGTAGTTACAAATTCGTAAAAGTTTCTTTTCCATAGAAATCTAAAAATTGAAAATTTAATACAAGATTGCACAAAAGATTCTATAACAAAAAAAAAGTTTACCAGCAATTCATATTCATTATATATTTGAGCTTTTGAAGCTTACATTTTTACGATTTGGATATTCACTTGTAAAATAAAAATTTTTCATTGAATGACTTTATTATTTAGTTGTAATAAAAAAAAGTGGGTAAGTGGATGTCGCTCTGCTTGTACAGTAGGTTACAAGTGGGTCACTGTATTGAATTCAATGATATACCTAATATCATTATGTAAGAAAAACGATTCTGAGCGAAAACGGTCAGTCAGCCTATGATATTACTAAGTATATAGGATGATATTATTGTGAATAAAGTAATTTATATATAACCTATTTATACGTGGAACCTTGTTTTCAATCCTTAGCTATTAAAATTGAACATTTTATACATTTTTAACTACAAAATAATTATTAAATTTTAAATTTCATAAATTTTGACAAAATTCGAACTTCAAATGTTTATAAAAAAAAAATTGTTCCTGTGTATTTTTAATATTTTTCAACTGCTATTTTAACAATATATCAAGATCCTTGTATTAAATTTTCATGCATTATTATTCAACAAATAAAATTTAATCGACAATTATAGAAAAAAAAACTAAAAAATTGAAAACTGATAATGTCTGTAAACAGCTTAAAAAGAATCAAAATATTTTCAAAATTGTATCGTCGTGTATAGAAAATGTAAAATATATATATTCAGTGAAATTGTCATGTATTTACAGTTATACGTTTTTGAATTACAACAAAATCCGCTACATGAGAAATCGAGTAAATATCCAATTTTTTTTGATAAAGGTAGATAACCTTACAATGAATCTTGAATTACTTTTTAAAATTTTAGATTTAAAAATAAAAATTTTTAGGAATTACTAACTCAAAATAATTTGCACATTTTTGTGATTTTTACGCCTTTTGTCAAAATTTGAACTTATAACGCTTATAAAAAAAAATTGTGACTGGATATTTTAATGTTTTTCAAACGTCATTATAACAATATATTAAGAGCCTTGTATTAAACTTTCAAGCTTTTTTACCAAATAAATACAATTTTATTGACAATCATAGAAAAAAAAACTTAAAATTGATAATGCCCGAAAACAAGTCAAAATATTTTGAATATTTTATGGTGTATAGCAAATGCTAATATAAACATTCAGTCAAAATGTATGTACCTACGGTAATTTGTTTTAGAGTTACATCAAAACCGAAATCGATTTTCTCGAAAACAGATTTTGCTTAAAAATTCCCGTTTTTCCTTAATTTTTCTTTTGTTTTTTCATGGCGCTTCTGAAAACTACTGGGAATTTTTACTTTTGACCCACCAAAGTACCAACTAGATTCACTTTCCTATCGAAAATCTAAGCATTTTTACATTTTTACAAAGGTAATGACAGACATAAAAAAAAAATAAAGTAAAAAAAAAAAATACACATCATAGTAAAATCAATACATTCATCGCTCTGCTTAGAATCTAAAACAAATAAGTAGGTAGCAGATATTTGAAATGTTCACCAAATGTTTATTTTATATTCATGATAAACTTTTCAAAAAAATTGTTTCTTTATGAGATATTTATAGACATTTTCCGTTTTAAATTTTAATAGTTTTTATTCTAAAAATGTTGAAAACCCTTTTTTTTTTGGTAAAACATCTTGATAATACAGTGACTAGTGAGTACCGTTTAATGTGATCGTATTGGTGCAGGCAATTTTGATTCTATTAACCAGTTGTTAACCAGTTAATTCCACAAAGCATTTTTTTTTCAATATAATATTTGGTTTGAGATTTTCATTTTTGATTCCAATAAACGGTTGATTCTATAAACCAGTGATCATACATTAAGCGGAACTCACTGTAAAAGCTACCTCATAAGTTGTTATTATATCCATTTAAAAATATTCAAGGTGCATAGCCACATAGACATTTGAATTTAAACAAAATTTTCCAAAACACAACATTTATAAACTATCTGTGGTTAAAAATGTATGAAAAGTTCAATTTATTATCTCAGACTAAAAAATTGAAATTCTAAAAAAACCAAATCACAATATTTGTCCAGAGTATGATAATAGCAAGGGGGGAGCTAACTTCACATACATTTTTATATGTGTACTACCTCTCTAAAAAAAGAATTCAAAAATATTTTATATCAACTGTATTCTTAATAATTTATTAATAATACATAATATTAGTCTTAATTTATTTATTTTCGTATATCATATCACAGAATGTAATTTCAATAAATAATATTTAATATATTCAACGGTCTTTAACAACTTTGTCTAATTCATCGCAAGATTTAGATTTATTGCTCCTGCAAAAAATACAAATAACAAATTAAACAACATATTTGATTATGCTATAAAAATGCTATAAAAACAGATAAATATTCTATGATTTACCTTTTGATGAGATCTCTTCGTCCAACTTCTATGACAATCTGGCCACATTTTACTTCTTTGAATAGCGCAATCGCTTGAGAATGTTTGAAACCATCCATACTTTTGCCATTTACGCTGATAATTTCATCACCTGTTTAATTTAAATAATCATATAACAGAACAACAAGACTAATTGAGTTTTTGTATACCCTCTTTTAAGAGCTGTGATTCTGCTGCTTGACCTGTAGGAAAAATCGTTTTAACGAAAATCCCCATGCATCCTTTTGGAGAGTCAATTCCACCAACGATACTGAAACCTAAAGACTTATATCCTGGTCCTTTATGAAAAATTATCGTTTTTAGAGATATAGATAATGATCTAGGTCTTGGCAATCGAGGTAGCTGAGTATGTTTTGGTCGAGTTTGATCTAAATGCACAGAGAATTTACGCATTCCAGTCATCTTAGGTTTTTCCTCTAACTTGATTTCTGGCAAAGATGATTGTCTAGAATAAAGGGGCTCATGTACTTCTTCTGACTTTGCTGGGTATTTAGGAACAGTTGGGGGTTTTTGAATTAATAACACTTGTTCTGTATTTGTGATTGGTTGGCATTTAGATCTAGAAACAACAAATTCTATGCTATACTTCGATGAACGCATTATGGATTCCACATCTTGACGCCTTAAACCCTTTACTCTGGTACCATTGATTTTTATTATTTCATCTTGGATACATAATTTACCATCCCTGAAAACATTTACACAGTACATTATTATTTTAAAAATACAGTATTAGAGTATTTCATCTTACCTAGCTGCTGGGCCTGTCAAAGCTGTAATAATTAATGTACTAGTTCTCGAAGAAGAGTCTCGATACTCCACATTAACTCCAACATCTTCACCAAGGCGTTTGCTAAACCGTATGGTTTTCATCTCGGTATGTCGATTGTTTGGACCTATGCAGCTACTTTTTTTCAATAAAAACCTTTGATAAAGACTCATATTTCGTTCCGGTTTTTTACATTCATCACACATTAATGATGAGACCTCTACATTTGATCCAATTTGAAGTTCCTTGACATCACCTCTTCGTATTCCCATACGAACATTTTTTCTAGAAAATTCATCATTATCAACTGAAGACTGTGATTTAATTGATCCTCTGGGTGAGTCTCCACCATTTCTAGTCGAATCACTCTCATAACCACTTTCATCTGCTTTTATTACCACACGATTCTTTTCGTCCATTTTATTTATCATAAACGTTTCTCCAAAACTTGTATGTCTTCTCCTTCGGTTTTTAAGAGAAGAATTTTGATTTACACGATTTGTAGCTTGATTGAACACATTAAGAAGGTCTTCATAATTTAGAGTCTGAAGGTTATCAATACTCTTCGTTAATCCTAATACCTTTTTATTAGAAATAAGATATTCTAAAATGCACTGTTCTTCAAGAGGATTCTCATCAATGTTAACAGATAATGCCGTTCTTTTAATAGACATAATTTTGGGAGGAATTATTTTTATTTTTGAAGGGTTTTCCATGGCGTATAGATCCTCGAGACCTTTTTGACATTTTTCCTTTAGCCAATCTTGATCTTTTTCTTCTAAAGTCCTTGGTTCATCAATACTTCTAATACTTTCTATTCTTGATAAACGTTTATTTTGGTTATTATGTAATTTATCAATGTAATTTTGATGAAATTCAATATTTTGATTATTTTTATCTTTCGTAGATATGGGTGACCATTGTCTTCTACGATTAGGAGAAACTTGGAGTATTTCAGAAGAATCACTTCTTTTTAACTGATCCCATTTTCTTCCAACTTTTTTACCCCAGGTTGCTAAACCTAACATATAATAGTACACAATTAAATTATAAACAATAATTCGACAGATGTTTTGAAAAATTTACTTTTTTTGTGAGGTTTTGGTGAACCATTATCAGGTGTGGTACATCCTTTTGGAGTTGCATAGCCGGGCGATACATCTCTGTGGTCCTGTTCAATAGGCGACAAACTAACAAGTTGAGGACTTGGATCAGAACAACGCCTTTTGAAAAGTCTCATGGTTTCATATCAGCTGAAAATTATATTGTAAAATATAAAATATATATCACGCATACATATAAAAAACCTAACATGATCATCGCGTGAACATTTCACAAATATAGGTACAGAGTAAAATACAATTATAATACGAGTGAACTCGTAAAGAAATTAAGTTCATTAACATTCGAGAAAATGAGATTTAAACCTGTTCTTTTTGATGTTGCTGTATTGAAATATTTCTAAGTTTATGACCAAGAGAAATCTCATAGGAAAATTTATAGAATTTCCGTGTGGTTTAAAATGGAATGCGTTGATTTAGTAATTAATTGTATTAATAAATTCTTCTACTTTCTATAACAAAGTGTGAACCTAAAGGTCCAAGATATATTATTCTAGTCTATAGGTTATAAGTACCAATCAATATTTTACAATAATAGTTTATATACATTAGTATGATTTATGAATTAAATACCTAAATTAATATTTTAAAACATCATTTTAGTGTTTTAGATTTGATAATAATTTCTGTTAATATAATATAATATAATATTTTTTCATAATATTTTCTTATATTATAATTATATTGAATATTCCCACAGTTTTATACTCATAAAAACGATTTGTAAGTTGGATTAAAATAAATAATAAGAAATATACGATTTACCGTTTTTACACAGTTCAAAATTTGAAATGTAAGTACTTACAATATGTTCCATAAATTAAATGTTTAATGTGAATTTCAGTTGCTCTAGTAAATTAATCAAATATGTATATAACCTAATTAGGTTATAATATGAATGTATGAGTACCTACGTATGATATATCCTTGTTTCGTAAAACGAATTAATATACTTTTACTACTTTTACACAATATATTTTATTACAAAAAATAAAACACACATGATACAAGTGACTATTTTAAAGTAGGGCAGATGTATAATTATATTTCAAAATCTTTCTAATATTAAACTAACAATTGTCAATTATCTTTTACGTAATTTCATCAATATGTATTAAAATATAGATATAGGTATAAGCTATACATAAAATTCATAAGGTTAGATATATGATCACAATATATTATAAAGTCATCGATTAAGTAATACAATTGTATGCACTATATTAAAATATAACTTGTTAACATTAAATTTAATACAATTTACATTTGAATTATAAATATTCAGATATATTTGAAAAAATATAATCAGATTGATTTAATTAAATCTTGAATGAACTAGTGTTGAATATTTTAAAATGCAATATACGTCATAATAATAATAAATGTAAATTTTAAATAATATTTGTTATACAGGTACGGGTTACGTACCTAAATCATAAGTCACAACACAAGCTTTAAAAAGGTTGAGCATAATTTACATTTGACTTTCAATTATTCACTTTCAATATCAGTCCATAAAACAAATAGTAACATGTTTACCGCGTATAGTGAATCTATGTATGTATAGAACGTAGCAATTAAAAATATTTTTAATACAACGAAAGTAGGTACAAAATATGCATCGATAACTTATTGTAGTGTCGTACACTTGGACCTATATAATATTATAATATTTGTATTTATTTATCAAACATTATTTTTAAATACCTTGATGATATATATTTTTATATAATATATTATAAGAATTTAAATATTTAAAATGTTATACCTACAGAATATAATTGTATTCAAAAATGATTTCAAAGTGTTTATGTTTTCATAATTGAATGACAGTAAAAACTAATAATTCTATAAAGTACCTAATAAAAAGATTTTTAGTTATTTATTAATGATAAACATGATGTAATAGATTTTGATAGACTCACGTTGTTTGATACCTACTTCGATGTATTTACATACTTTATAAGTTTATAACCACATTATAGGTAAATGTATAATGGCATATTGGTAAACGTTGTTTACACGCCAGTTTGAAAGTTTGCCAAATGTATATTTTTGTAAATCACTGTCTGCGCTGAATCATGTACATTTGTTCATGCATTTTTACACATAATTGGCACCATAGCTGGCACGTTAAGCTACAGTAACTCGGTCGGGACTAAATTTTTTGATTTTCACGGTAAAATCATTAGGAAATTATAACATAGGTACCTATATGGCATATATTTATTGTGTGCCTACACGCTCTGTATACTACTCATAATACTAATTTAACTATAACCCATTAAATGGAAATTATGTGGTAGTACCTACAACATACGTATGACTATTATGACCCCAACAAATCCAAAATAATAAAAAAATATACACTCGACAACATTAAAATCAATGACCTGGCAACATTTTCATTCGCATTATTATTATTATTACTATCATCGTCAATCGTCATTATTGTTGTTAATACAAACATTGTGTCTATTATGATGTTTATTGAGTGTTGAGAAAAACTACGGAGATCTATGATGAAACGACAACTCGTAATAAGTTTATAATGTATAAGTATTATTTGTAACATGAGTTAATGTGGTATGTCGTTGTACTTGACCGCCCACTGAAAAGAACTGAAAGAAGTCGTTTTATATAATATACAAATCGATTCGTAGGTACCTACACCTTATGCACAGGTGACCGGATAGGGGGCGACAAAAAAAAATAATAATAATAATAAAACCTACAGGTTAGACAGCGCAGACAAACAACTAACAAGCCATTTCGTTACTAATGTCAGTGGTACTTCCGTTAGGTTGAACATTTGTTAGGCATACAGATATGAATGTAATATATATATATATTATAAAAATATACCTACATAGTAAATATAATAATATTATAGTCTGTTATAGCCATATAGGAATAACTATTATAGTAGAATAGCTGATACACTGCCCAACATAGGTATTATAGGTACCTAGTAGATCTGTATAAATATTAATTAATGTTTTATTTACCTATTTTAACTGTTTGTTTATAAATCAGGATAAGTTTTCGTGAAATTTCAAATGTATAGTATACATTTATTTTACAAATAAAAGTATACCTACATAACATTGTGTTAAGCTATCGATTGTTCATTGTCAACCATTTTATTTTAAAGATTATTTATTCATATAATATTATTTTAATGAAAATCCTAGTAGGTATCTATGTAATTATGTGTATATAATATATTAATATGCATACACAACAATAGGTAATATTATTGTATATTTATTTCGATATATTATATCGAAACCATTTGCCCAACCCAATACAACTTAACTCGGTCAACTCTTACTTAATCAGCAAAAAAATCGATTGCGGGATTATCTTTATGACTTTATTTATCATTGGAAATTCATTGCTATTATTATAAGTAATTTACAATTAATTTATTATTTTAATAGGTACATAAATAAATAAAAAAACAATTTAATTTCGAATTATTTTTGATTCTATTAATTTATACATATTGTTTTAATTATTACACATTTCTATACCTATATTATATAAAAATGTTTTACTTAGTATTATGAAAAACTGTAATTAGTTCTAAATAAAATGCGTTTTGAATAACGTTGAATGGACACGGCCGGTTAACTGCGTGTTCTTTGCTTGGGAACAAACACCGGGCACCACACCTATATGCAGTTTTATAGGTACCTACTACAACAGTGCCGTTTGACCAGAACAAGTACTGTTATAAGAGGCAAACTTAGAAAACTACTACAACCGGTTTTTGTTATAATATCATTATAAAAAGGCTATATACGTGACCCGCGGGAGAAGCCCATTCAGCAGGAATAATTCCGCACACTTCAATATTTACATAATATTATAGGTACCTAAGTAGGAAAATATAATATTTAAAACACAATTAAACCAATCAAAATACACAAGAATAGTTAATTATGATTTATCAGAAATCAGGATTGATTTGTTATGAGTTACGACTTAACGAGTTACGACTTTTGATTTTTGAATTGATCACCTTTAATACTGAACTGCAGCTGATCCCAATCACTTAACCCTTCGGCTTGAATTACTATAAAAAAGCATTACTATAGTTAGTCGAATGATAGGTATTTGTACCGTTCGTCACCAATGGTCCCGAGTCAGTCCTAGACCAATATTCTACCCAGATGGCTGATATCCCCACTATTATTATTTTTCTAAATCATTAACATTATTTTTCATTTATTTTTTATTATAATTAAAGTATACCATTAGTATTACATTAACTATTAATACAAATATCATCATAGGTACTTATAATATATTATGTATAATGAAAAACAAAATTAACATTTTAGAAGAGAACTGAAAAACTATAATATTTATAAGCTATTTAAAAAAGTAAAAACGCTTAAAAATACAATAAAATAACTTTCTAGGTGTAATTGATTGTAATACAAATAAAAAATATTTATATCACTGCTTAATCTCTCCATATTTATGACCTTGGCATAAAAAGTTACACGGTTAGTCACGCGGGGTTCTTATATAATATATCCCAACTATAGCCTATATGATATAAAAATACCTATCTTAAAAATGAAAATAAATAACGTCGGGTATACCTATATCTACGGTCTGCTGTATTTTAAGTATCGAGAGTATACCTCATCATTGAGTAGCTGGTCAGTAGCTGATCATTGTTGTAATGGACGTCAATTTGAATTTAATGACAAATCAATGTATAGTATGATCGACTGTTTACTGTCAGCCTATAAATGTTCTATTTTATTACATATTTATATTATTATTGGTAATTGATTTTTCTAATGGTAATACGGATGGCCCGGTATGGTTGAACTAATTTTTGCCAAAACAAGTCACATATATAATATAATATTGATAGGTAATTATTATGTTTTACTAAAATGTTTTATAATATTACTAGATGTATTAACTTAATTGTAAGTCAATAACGATGTACCGCAGGGTGTAGACCGTACAAAATATTTTTTAGAATTTTTGTGATTTTGACGAACTTATTAAAAATGTGAATTTTTAAACGATTTTTATTAAACGACTATGTATTTTTGATAGATTTCAATCGAGGTATGAATATAATATTATG